TGTACCGACGAGGACGTAGTCAAATTTAGTAAGTATAGGGGTTTTCGTTTGGTACGTCTCGTTGTACCCACTACTCCTACTGTCTCTTCGTCTGGTACGTTCTCTCTCTCTCTCTCTCTCTCTCTCTCAATTAGAGTGAATCATGGTTATATTCTCTCTCTTTCCTCTCTAACCCATTTTACTTCAGTGAAGTTTGAGCCTGTCTCTCTCTCTCTCTCAAATGTTTGATCATAATTTGCGTGTATTTTGACCATACTTCTCTTTTCTTGTTGTGGCATGCAGACCTTCTGTGATGCTCTTATACCCATTGTAAGTAGATTTCTTGCATCTTAGTTTAAGAGTTGGGATTTTAGTTTTTCCTTGTAAGATTTAGAGGCATCAAAAGTGATTACTGTTTTTGGGGGAAAAAAATTTAGGATTTTTGTTCCTCTATGTTTTCCATGCCCTGTTTTTTAAATATTTGAATGCAACAGGTATGCTTCAGTTAGAGCAATTGAAAGCCCATCAAAACTGGATGATGAGCAATGGCTGGCTTATTGGATTCTCTATTCCTTTCTCACTCTAATGGAGATGGTGGCTGCTCCAGTGTTGTCCTGGTAAGAAATCTTGACAACAATTTTGAAATTGTGAGGGAAAAGGATTTTGAAGGAGAAAATAGGGCTCTCAACGGGTCGGTCCAACCCAATATGCTTGGGTCCCTGACCCTCGCCCGTGAGGTCCAGATCCGGGCCCAACTGATTAGGTTGGATCAGGGGCTGAGTCCTCGTGAAAATAATAAATTATATATACCAAGTTGGGTAGGCCCAACACAGGTCCAGCGCCTACCTGGGTCGGGTGGACTGACAAGTGGATTATCACCCGGTCTGCCCCACCCAAAAACCTAGGGCCTGGGCCATGAAATGTGGCTTGAAGGTGGGCCTGGACCAAGGCTGGCCCGACCCTCGTTTTTTTGTTGTTTTCTTCCTTTTACTTCTTCTGGATTTTACTTGGGCCAGGCCTAGCCGATGCCTCTTGGCCCTGTTAGACCTGGCCGGGCCCTTTGGGAACTAGAGCTGAGCTAGGGCCAGGCCCGGTCCATTGTCAGCCCTAGGCATTCTTATTATGAAGTAAATTGTGATCGATACGTTTCTATGATCATCGATGTCAGCACCGTCCCATTAATGGATGAATGGTTTGGAACCGTCAAATCAATGGATGGACAGTTTTGGAAGCTCTTCCAGAACATGATTCGAGTCGTTACGAAATTTCACCTCCATCGCCATGCATCCACTTGTTGAATGATGATGAATTTCTTATGAACAGAAATCTTCAATGGTCATGTGGTTTATAGTTTAGTTTCTTCAGTATGGAACAAGGTTTAGAAAAGGGATCGGTGACCCGGATAGGGCACCCTGTAAATAGGGCTGGATCGGTGGATGAAGATAGAGAACAGAGAGAGAGAGCGGAGATAATGAAAACTCATGTGCAATAGGTCCACATGGGACATATTAAGACATTGAAGGGGAGGCAAGTTTTATAGATAGGGAATCGAAAGATAAAAAGTGAGTCGGATTGTTGGTACATTGATGGATTTGTTAGTTTTGTCGGTGAACCGGCTGGTTTGTAGTGAGAAATTAACAAGTTTTTTATATATATTAGGAGTGTGTTCTGGATCGGAACATATATAACAAGTTTTTTATATATGTCCTCAACAATGACGGTTTGGCTTTAGAAATTTTAAAATAAACACGGGAGATTGGCTATTTAGTATTTTATCCATATTTTTTTATTTAGTTTTAAAATAATCATGTGAATACATAAAAATAGACACTATTTTTTTATTTAGTTTTAAAATAGCTATGAGAATACATAAAAATAGACACGAGAGATCGGCTATTTAGTATTTTATTCCAATTTTTTTATCTAGTTTTAAAATAGCAATACGACCATGAATGGGAGTAGAAAAAAAGAGGATAATGTTAAATTGTTGAAAATTTGGGAGTATTTAGATAAATTTCCCAATAAATTTTATTTCTATGGATCGTGTGGTTACTTGTAATATGGTAGGGTTACCTACAGAAGTGGGTTTGTGTTTAAAACTTTCAATATGTTAAATAAAGGGAATTGATTAGGTTGATGGTCTTTCGTGACCAACTTTCAATATGTTAAATAAAGGGAATTGATTAGGTTGATGGTCTTTCGTGACCATTGCGGTCTTTCGTGACCATTGCTTCACGATCTATTTGACCGAAAGATTTCAGATAATTTGAGGTCTTAAGATCATTTATGAGCGGGAATGATTGTGATCTCACAATCTCGATTCCTAATATTAGTTGCAAGCGAAAAAAAACTTATTTAGAGCTTTAAAATTCTCTCAAGAGCTTGAAATTTGAGGGATAATGAGATGTAGTTTTTTTTTTTTTTTTTGAACAAGGTGATCTAAAAGTTTCCACATCAAATATATCCCTTCACCGTGTGAAGGAAGAGAGAGAGAGTTTGTTTGATTAGAAGCAAATTGGAATTAATTGTTGCCTTGTGGTGAATGGTTAGGATACCAATATGGTACCAGTTGAAGGTGGCATTTGTAGCTTGGTTGGTGCTGCCCCAATTCAGAGGTGCTTCCTTCATATACGAGAGGTTCGTCAGGGAGCAGTTGAGGAAATACGATAAGGCCATGGGCAAAGGCCACCGCATCTCCCCCGGCAAGAAGAACAAGTTCGTCGATTTTGTCTCTCCTAAAGCGGTGAGTTCCTTCTCCATTAGCCCTCAGAGATGTAAATGGGTTAGGTTAGGGTCAGGTCCAGTTCAAGTCGATCTCGACCTTGAACAATTAGGTCCCGGTCGACCAGGATTGGACTAGAACTACCAAGTCCAAGGTGCCTGTATAGGCCTGGATCCGGCTCGGGTTTCACCAGGGAAGTCGGCCTGCCCTATTGTTGTGTTATTGTAAGTGGGTTAGATCCATATTACTTGGCCCTATTGTTGTGTTATTGTAGGTAGGGGTACAGTCATATTACTTGACCTATTTGGTCAATAGAGTTATCACCATTGGTATGGTGATGCAGAGGGAGTGGAATCCGAAATAGAACAGTGCTTGTAACATATATAGGCCACGCACCATCACCATCCACCCATTGATTTGATGGCGGTGATCCCGGCAATCACATGTTTTATCTGGTCATACTTGATCATGTTCGGGTAAACCCTAGGATTCATGGCTTCGGGTAATTGGGGAGGTCTTAAGTGGTGTATAGTTGTAATGGTGTATACTTGGTTTTGCAGGGAGAGCACGAGGCCTACTGAGGAGGGATTGTTTCTTTCTCATGCTTTATTTTGGTTTAGAAATGTAACATATTTGCATATCAATGTTAATGTTGTAAGCTTTTTCCTACATATCTCTATCTCACACTCACATAAGCGGTAATACACTCACATAAGCGGTAATAATTAATCGGAGACTACCAGCCCACATAATGGAGACATGCTGCTGCTCGACAAGAAATATATATTTTAATTTATAATTTGATCTTAATTTTTAAAGAATATATAATTTTTAATATGGAGATGATTAATATGAATAAATAAATATATTTTAAAAACTAAAAATAGTATTTATACCAAGAAAACATTTACAATTGTTAGATGTACTATCGCATGCATTATACCTTTGGACGGCATATTATAGAAATGTGTTCCTAATTAATTTGGCCAAGTTATTGATTGAAGGGTGAGAACAAACGTTCTCCATCACCGTGGATTGCTGGTGATGGCCCCCATAACTATGTTATTATAATGATCATATGAACTACAAATAGTTTTACCGAATATATTTCTTATATTGTTAACTATTATCCTTCTTTTTGTGTAGGACACGAACCATGTGCTCCCTCCGGAGTACAGTTTACTTTGGTCTAAAAAACCTACTTGGAAGGATTCTTTTAATATGAAATTTGAATCTACCTAAAAATCACTAGATGATTATTCTCAGGAGAAAATGAAATTTGAGTTTTCTAATGTTTAGATCTTGTCGATTAGTGTTTTCCAATTTGGAGGTTGTTTTTCCCCTTAAAGTGTATAGAGGTGCAATTAGGACATTTCTTTTCTTTATATTGAGGCGGTAAGCGGGGTTCTATGGTAAACAAAAGAACATTCCTGATCTGATTTCAGACTCTTTTCAACCACGTTTTTTTAGTTCTATTTCGTTTCTTTCAATTTTTTTCATTTGAATTAACTTGTACCTTCCAACAATTGTTGTACTGGGCATATATGATCCGTCCATTTAAGTTTATTTTTTTTCGTCTTATTATCTGTTGGTGTGATAAATTATTATTATTAGTTTATTTATTTATTATGGATTCATTTCGATTCCTATTCCTTTTTGTTTTTCCGTTAAGTCATATTAACATCCTCATTTTTTTTCTTTTACAAGATCATAAAGATTTTATTACTCAATCAACCCAACAGTTATAATGAAAAGATATAAACGCAACAATTAAAAAGATAAGGAATTGAACACCAACGTAGGATGCGAGTCTGCTTTTCTCATTGACTTTCTTAAAAACATGATTCAAAGCCGCAATTTTATTGTGGATTGATCACAGCGATCTTTTGATAGATTTAATTTTTACAGCCTAGCTAACATTTTTATTTGGCTTGCTATAGTTATCTCACACAGGCCATAAAAAGTGATTATTTTTACACCTTGATAATCTCTCATCACATTAGCACGTCTTGAGTTTTTCAATGAACTACCATCAAAATTCAATTTAAAACATCCAGGATAGGGTGGGGTTCAATGATATCGAATTAAAGGTTTAGAACTCCGTTGATGTAACAAATTCCTCACAATCAACTGAATATCAATATTTGAAATCTCAAAACTTTCTTTCGTAGAAGAAAATCACGACCAAACATTTTGAAAACTTTTATCGTTCACACTATTTAACTTCCAACAGAAGCTCTAAAAAATACGCCTATTTCTCTTCAACCAAGGATCGAAGCCTTGAAAATCTGCCCTAATATGACTTTTTTTTAGGTAAAGAAAAAATCTCAATATCGTCATTTTCACTATACTTATTTTATGGGTATATTGTTTTTTGTCCACCAAATATTTCGTTCTATAGAATAAAGTTGGTTTCGTAACTGTCCAATAGAACTTGCACTTTAGCTTTTATTGGTATGCTTATTGGTATGCGGTGAATATTTGAATTTTTTTTTTTTTCTTTTTAATTTGTAGTAACGACCTATATTTCAGTTTTAAAAATTATAATGAAGTATTGTTTCAATTCGTTTATAATTTTTTTAGAAATATAAAGATATAAAAAATATGAAAGTAAAACCTAAAGTAGGAGAAATTTTAGCACCCCACATTTTGGGGATTTAATTTTTTTAATCCATAGATTAACCTCATTAAAATAATTTCTAAATTGAGGTCTCTTTTTATTAGAAACACAAATGGTGTCTGAATAGAAGATTGTCTAAATTTTTTCAGGGTGGGATCTAAAGTGTTAGAAAATACAAAGTTCGAATTTTGTTTTCCGATAATGATCATTAAATGGCCGTTTGGGTACGTGGATTGTCATGAAATAGCTTGGGTAACTTGAAATGAAACAAATTACGGTGAAACAAGTTAGGGCACGATGAGAGAAGCCGGGCAAATGGGTTTAATGGACGAAACTAATTTTCGGTTTTTCAAAAGCTGAATTTAGACTTATTTTGATTTTTGAAAAATAAAAAATGAACTGTTTTACTTAAAAATAAATAAAATAAAATAGAAACGTCAAGGTATTTTTGAAATAATGGTAAATATATATATATATATATATATATATATATATATGGTGCACAATAGTGTCAAGCATATACACCTAAAATTTCATCTCAATATAATTTATTGAAAACATATTAAAATTCGGATAGTGATATATATTTTCAACTGCCCGATAAAGATCTGACAACTGAGATTCCACTTATATTACTATTCATTATATGTGTGTGTATGTGCATGTGTGTGCGGGCATGCTCTTAGAACGGGTATATATGATTTACTAGCACTTGATGATTATGACTAAGGTTTGAAAAAAAGGATCGGCAACATATCAGTTGCATAAAAAAAATGTTGGATCGACAATTCTAATCGGAGAATTGGGCGGATTGGCAGGTTTATGCCCAAAAACAGTTTTGAAAATCATTAAAAATATCTAAAAATAGTGTTTTCTGAATTTATAAAACAAATTGAGAGTGGTGCATTGTGTACTTTCATTATTTTGTAAAAATATGTGAATACTGAGATGTTTTTTTTTCTAGATTTATGTTAATCATTTCATTATTTTTTAGTTTTTAAGAAAAAAATACGAATATAAAGAAATATATTGTCTTCACTCTACAACTAAAATGGAGTACACGTTTGCAAACTAATGCATCTAAGTAAATAAAGTTCATTAAAAAAATAACAACACTAATATACTTTATGACATTAAAAAAAAAAAACAAGTTTATATAATTGGTTGTTTTGATGCTGAAAAATATGATCATCTTGACCTCAAGATTTATGTATGAATATAAAAAAAATAGATTTCACGTCTTGAAAATAGTGCATCTTGTAATGTATATCTAAATCGACGATTTTCAAGATTTTTAAGTGTTCATGGGTTTGCTCGATTTACAGTATTTTTTAATCTTCAAATTCTATAATTCAAGCCGTCAAAAAGATGCATGATATTGAAACAACTTATTTCAGCACTATTTGAAGTTGCACCTTACTTTGATTGTTTTGAGCCTCAACCTTATACAAACCACATCCTTCATCAGAACAATATTGCATAAAAAATATGCTTAAAAAAGATAATTTCTAATGTAATTTGAAGATGTTCTTCTAATTTCTAAAGTAATTTTTAAAATGGAATTCATAATATTAGTAGTAGAGAGCTAACTCATAATTAAATCCATCTTAATACTATATTTCCATAATACAGAGCTAATTTATAGAACTTTATCATGCACTTAAAAAGGAAAAAAATAAGGGCAAGCTTTCTATGCTTCCACTATAGGATAAAACTTATACTTCTCCTTATCCAACCGTCCATTCTTAATGGACAGCTGAGATGGTCCATATCACAATGTCACGTCTCTACATTATTTTATTTTTAGTTTTTTTTAAAATAAATATTTTGAGACCAAATTTTGGTTGTCAAATCCTCTCTTAAACTCGCACACGTAAAAAATATTTTCAATAAAATAAAATGAACAAAATACCCCTGAAATATTTAAAGGGTATTTTGGTCATTATATTTTATCAAAAAACTCTTTTTAATATCTTTTTTAGGTGTGTACCATTGAAACTATAGCACGTATCAAATTTCATATTCATACAATTTGTATAAAATTTTTTTTAAAAAAAATACTCTAAAGCGTCAGATCTAGATCAAACGGTAAGCGACTCACTTGGTCTGAATTGGGGGAAGCATATACCTTCTACGTAGTAGGGGAAGTACATAAACCTTTCCAAAAAAAGAAAATTGGTTCAAGGATTGAGAACTTACTAGGGACAACAGAACGTTTTTATTTGTTTTATTCAGTACAACAAGCAAATATTATTTAGTAATCCAAATGTCCTATTTGCATTATTATATGATTTTGTATTTTCATCTAAGCCCTCCATCAAAGAGATATGCTATTACAAATGAGAAATGAGTTCATGCAACGGTTGTATAGCAGTATAATACAACCATTTTTAAAAACATGTTAGAGACATGTGTTTGACACGAATTTTTAAATGTACACTCTTTTCTTTCTAAAGAACAATCACAAAAAAAGGATAAGCGTGATTTTGAATTTCTTAAGTCCTAGATCTTGAAATTTACCAAATGGATGGTTGCAATTCATTGTTGGAGGATACTAATTTTGAGTTATAAATTGAATTTTTTTTTCTTCTTAGGATTGATTATAAGGATGAAGAGAATGTGTGTGCAAAATTTGGAGTTAAACAAATGCCTAAAACATAGTTTTCTAGAGATGTGGTTGCATTATACCACTATACAACAGTTCATGAAATCATTCCTCAGAGGGATGATTTCATGCAACAGTTGTATAGTAGAGGATAATTTCATGAATGGTTGTATAGTAGTATAATGCAACCATCTTTAAAACCATGTTATAGACAATTGTTTGACACAAATTTTTAAATGTACAGTTTTTTCATTCTAAAGAACAATCACAAAAAAAGAAAATTTTGAAAAAACACCTTAGAGTGTTTTTTTAGACCAACTAATATAAGCCATTTATTTTAGTGAGATGGCTAGATATAGGCATCATCATGATTTTTTTATTCCCATTTGGTTCGTTTTTTGCGATAAACAAATTATTTTTTTCAGATAAACAATTAAATATGAGAT